ATCCCTTTTATACATTTATGGAAGCCATGTGTCCATATCAATATAAACAAAGCCCTATATGTTGTAAACCCCCCATGTTTACAAGCGCAATGACCAAATTTATTCCACCAAGGTCCATGCTTACCCTATTCTTGTACAAGAGTTCCTTGTTATTGTAAATGATGGTATTACGAGATTAAGGATTACTTTTACAATGTAATGGAACGAGTATGTCCATTTTAGTATAATACGAATCCTGAATGTTGTAACCACTAACTTGGTTACAAGGATAATGACTACATTTACTCCTCCAAGGTTCATTTTTGTTTGTATTGGGGGTCATTTTTCTTTGTATTAGATGTCCTTATCTTTGTAAATTATGATATTACAATTGACTGGATGGATTTTACAATCTTATGCAACATAAATGTCCAAACTAGAGTAATACGAGACCTTAATATTGTAAACATTTGTGTTTACATATATAAGGACCCAATTTACTTTCCTAATATCCCTAGTTACCTTAATATTGTACTAGATGTCCTTCTCTTTGTAAATTAAGATATTACAAGATTATGGATGAGTTTTACAATCTTCTGGAACATAACTATATCCCAAAAGAGTAATACAAGACCTTAATATTGTAAACATCCGTGTTAACAAGTATAAGGACCTAACCCTAATATTGTACTACATGTCTTTATCTTTGTAAATTACGATATTACAAGATTAAGGATGAGTTTTACAATCTTCTGGAACATAACTATCCAAAACCGAGTAATACAGGACCTTAATATTGTAAACATTTGTGTTTACAAGTATAAGGACCCAATTTAACTTCTGAATTTTCCACTTTACCTTAATATTATACTATATATCTTTACAATTATAAATTACGATATTACAAGATTAAGGGTGAATTTTACAATTTTGTGGAACATGACTGTCCTAAACAGAGTAATACGAGACCTTAATATTGTAAACATTTGTGTTTACATGTATAAAGACCCAATTTACTTTCCTAATGTCCCTAGTTACCTTAATATTGTACTAGATGTCTTTATCCTTGTAAGTTACGATATTACAAGACTACGGATGGGTTTTACAATTCTATGGAACACAGCTGTCCAAAACAAAGTAATATGAGACCTTAATATTGTAAACATCCGTGTTTACAAGTTTAGGGACCTAATTTAACTTATGAATGTTCCACTTTACCTTAATATTGTACTACATGTCCTTTTTTTGTAAATTACGATATTACACGATTAAGAATTGATTTTATAATATAATGGAACACAAATGTCCAACAGTGTAATACGAGTCCTTCCTATTGTAAACCCTTTTGTTTTCAAGGATAAGGACGTAATTTACTTCTCTACTGTCCCACCTTCGCTTTATACATTTATTTTTTTTATTTAATTATAAATTAAATAGATGTTTACAAAATATTAACACAGGACAAAAATCCCATGTTTTTAACCAAAAAACAAAAAATATATAAACTTTATGGTTACAAAACTATTTCGAATGGGAAGTGAAATCCTGTGGAAAACCAAGCCAAAAGTTAAGAAAATAGGCATGCATGCACGTTTGCAATTTCAAACACACGGTTTTTCAATTGCATTATTCTTGTTCAATTTCCAACTCACTGTTTGTCAATTGAATTATTTCCTTTTCCTCCTAGGCGAGCCAATCGATTAGTGCCCTTTCCAGCTTATGGTCACTTCCTTTCAAATGAACTCATTCAATCCATTCACAGACAACAATAGACAATCATATTTGACATCATTATATAATAAGTTTGTAGCATCAACCAAGTTACATAAGCTTTGGGGTTACAAAACTATTTCGAATGGGAAGTGAAATCCTGTGGAAAACCAAGCCAAAAGTGAAGAAAAAAGGCATGCATGCACGTTTGCAATTTCAAACTTACGGTTTGTCAATTGCATTATTCTTGTTCAATTTCCAACTCACTGTTTGTCAATTACATTATGCTTGTTCAATTTCCAACACACTGTTTGTCAATTGAATTATTTCCTTTTCCTCCTAGGCGAGGCAACCTATCAGTGCCCTTTCGATCTTATGGTCACTTCCTTTCAAATTAACTCATTCAATCCATTCACAGACAACAATAGGCGATCATATTTGACATCATTATATAATAAGTTTGTAGCATCAAATAAGTTACATAAGCTACCCGTTAACATCTACCACAAAATATATAATCTCACTTATGTTCACAATTTTTTCCGGGTCATTTTCGTCCTAGTCCCCGTTTTCCTCGACCTCCTCATCCTCCACGTTTTCCTCATCCTCCTCATCCTCCTCACCATCCTCACATGATGTCTTAAAATCATTATTGTTCTCCTCATCCTCCTCATCCTCCTCACCATCCTCACATGATGTCTCAAAATCATTATCGTTCTCCTCGTCCTCCTCATCACCCTCATCATCAATTTCATTTTCATCTTCCGCATCAGCAATTTCTTTTCTAGCAAGGGGGTTATGGTTGTGTTGAGTGTGTGTCCCGTACAAAACCAAAGTCATAACCTTTGATGATTACTGCAATTATAAATGTCGCCTAATCTTTAACTTAAAATAAAGTAACAACTATGGCACATAACCATCATAACTACTCTCTTGCATTGCATTCACATATATATTTTTATGCTTACAAACCCAATTCACATAAATTATCAGTCCTCCTCATATAATTCTAATTAAAGGCACTACATTTGCGATTATATCACGCATATTTGTCACAATATAACGAGTGGAGTTTCAATTCATATTGCATTAATTTGGAAAAACTCCTACAAGCAATTCAATCCAACAATACCTGTCGAAGCTCGCTTATGATTGTCCTAGCAGCCATGTATTTAGTGAAGAGCAAGGAATTTAGGCCACTAATCATATCCAATAATTGTGTTGCTATCGATGCACTTACCTATAGTACAAACAAGTTATGTGTAAACAAAGTTAATATATTCGTGTAGTTTTGATTTCAACATTTAAATCCAATCCTTAACCTCAAACTTACATATTTCAGGAGTGGTAGGCACGTGCTAGACTTGCCTCTTGGAATATCCAACACTTCACAATCATCTGTGTCCCCCCATCCCACCACTCGAACACTCCATGAAGGAATTTTAATTTCACTAGCTTGAAATTTTAGACCAACATAGCACACACCTTCTTCTGCACTATGCATAGTGATGTGATATGAATTAAATATTTTTTTGCATAATGCAAAACTATATTACGAAAGACCATTATCAAAGGTAAAACTTACATTATTGATGATAGTTGGATAATGCTTATATATGACATACTCATTTTGAAAGAGTCAATAATCAGTGGATTTAGCCAACCAGTCCTCTGCATTAAAGCCATTAAGTGATGCTTTGATTTCTTTGTCCAAAGCAAGTACTTTCATGTCTTTAAGCATGGTTCTAGGGGGTCTTTTTGGGACTCGCGGCTCTGATGTACCCAGGCTTTGCACAGATACCCTTTCTCCTAAATACCAAGTATGGGGCTGGTCCTTGCAGTATAATCCTTTGTTTTGTCATAGGAATGCTTTTTTTCAGATAATCATGTAGGTTCGCATCATTGATTCCCCACGGATGTCAATTCACTTGATCAGTACTGGTATATCGAAGTGTTGTCCTAAACTGCTCCAAGTTGTGGGATGTTTCCCTCACATATGGGGCAGATAACCAGCGAAATGCCTGCGGCAACCAATCCACATCAATCAATGGTCGAGTTAAAGCAAGTGGCTTCAAGTGGAAGTACTACAATCCATGTCATTTTCTTGGGGTGAATGGAACCCAAAATCTATTACGATCTCTAGGTGGCGAGGCTTGTGTGTCAAATTGTGAGTCCAATACACTATACTCGGGTGTCTTAAAGGTGAAAGCATCAGAGGTGTAACGAGTGGAGCCACTAGACACTTTGCCATATGAGAAGCCCAAGTTAGGGGTTGTACAAGAAAAGGACAACGTCTTAGTCCCATGAACAACACTCGAGGAGGAATAAAATGTTTTGTTCCCAGCAGTTGTATCATCTTATGGTCCAAAACTAGAAAGAATATCACTCCTGTTACTTGTATAACCCCTTTTCCGCTTAACGCTCTCACCAACAATGTGATTTGGACAGTTTCTTTTGTTGTGACCAGTAACCTTGCACTCTCCACATTGTGGGGCCTTTTTGCCTTTGCTTCCCGTTGTTTGCATTCCTTTTGTCTTAGCAACTATGGGGTCGCTTCCAACATTATTATGGCATCCTAGATTAAGACTAGTTTGCTCATGTTGCTTCTTCCATGTCTCAACCAAAGTATTTAATTCCCCAAATTCAGCCTTTAGCCTATTGTAAGCTACTTTTGTCTGCGATCCATAAAAACAAAGCTTGTTAAAATCAGCACTTAATGACCTAAACCTAGCTATTTGAATAGTTTTGTTGGGAACATCATCTGACTTGACTACAAATTCACTCCTACGTCTTGCATCCTTTGTCCATCCCTTCATTATTAAGGTCGGAAGTATTTGATCCATATGATCACATTTCATGACTCCAAACATATGACAACATGGAATTCCACTGGATTCAAATAATTTGCACGAACACTACATATGTTGCTCTTTCTTGTAGTACACTATAGTCCATTTGTCATCGGGTCTTCCAAATTTGGAAAATGTGTAAACAAGAGGATCTTCATTGTTTCTTACGGGTTGCATGAGAATTAATTTTGCCTCATTGTTTATCTCATTTCTTATCAACTTGTAAATGTCTTGAGTGAAAATAGAAGCTGCATGTTCCTTTAGTGATCGGAGGTGCGTATGAAGGAGTGGGTGTGAATTGTTGGAATCAAAGTCATCCTTCACATTCTCATTTCTCAACCTCAATAATGATCTTTTAATCCGTGGAATACACTTCACTAACTTCATGCCTCTACCAATTCCATCATTCAAGTTCGTATGCATACCTTCGACACGTTGTGTGGTGGTATTCCCACCAAAAAATTACCCCGAGCAGTACGCTTCAGCCCATCGTTTTCGTTTCCGGTACATCATCTCGATCCAATCGCCTTTTAGATCATATGTATCTATCATTTGCTGCCAATATTGTTCGAACGCCACTGGTGTCAAACCACCATGCACACAATAGCTAAACTCCCTTACAATTTCTGGGTTATTCACATTGGTGTTCACATTCCTCATGATGTGCCATGTACATAAACGATGATGTGCATCAGGAAAAACTTCATCAATCGCTACGCGCATTGCCTCATCCCTGTCCATGACAATAGATACAGGCTTCTTGTCCTTTATAGAAGTCAAAAAAGTTTTGAGTACCTAACGATATGTATCAACAGTCTCATCAACAAGAAATGCACAAGCAAAAACTATAGTCGCGTTATGGTTGTTTACACCAACAAACACCCCTAAAGGCTTGTCATATACGTTGGTTTTGTACGTGCTATCAAATATCACCACATCCCCAAAGCAATAATAATCGTGTAGAGATTGAGAGTCTCTCCAAAACAAATTTGCCAATCTATTCTCCTCATCTACACTAAACATGCAAAAACATTCTAGGTCAGCTATTGCCTTAGCATTCATGTAGCTTATTGCTGCTTGTGCATCACCATCCAATACCACTTGTCGACGCTCGAAATCTATCATGTTATATAGATCCTTACTAGTGAACCCCACTTTCATGTATCCACTTGCTTGGTCAACCATATAGTCGTATGTCCGATTGGTTTTAATAGAGGCTTTTCTCATAGACATAGATTGTGCTATGTTAGATTCCGTAACATATCGGTGTGAACGAAGAAAAGGCACCTCACGTGAGTTAGTAAGTCGGTGGCTGTGCTCCTTTACAAATTTAGTCACAATATAAGCATCCCGTTTAGGACAATACTTCACAGCAAATGTAGCGTGACAATTCTCTCTAGTCTCTTTCCTTGGTGTACGAACCATATCATATCTATTCATCCATTTCTTTGATCTACTCCCTTCTTTTGAGCACACCCATTGTCTTCCCATCACAACCCCACCCTCGCTACGTCTCAAACGACTTCTTCTTATGCTAAAACCAATTGCAAGAGCATAGTTGCAGTAAAATCTTTCTGCTTCCTCAAATTTTGCAAACTCTCTCTCCACTAAATCAGCAATGCTCATATTTTGGAAGTTTAACCCATCATACTCAAACTGTCTGCTTTTCTCAGTACTTTCTTCTGTTCTACTGTCCAAAATCTGTAAAGATGGGACATTTTCAGTTTCTTCAAGTGACTCAGCCTCTGCAAAATAACCTTCACTGTTAGGTACAGAGTTTTGGCCCTGAATTCCATTCGTTTTACTTGCTTTTGCATACATTTCCTGAAAATAGGCAACATGTCTTTCATGGCATAATTAATATGAAAATAAATGGATACACATCAATTGCATTTAGTAGAAATATAAACATACAATTAAATTATGAAGGATTAGTCCTTACTGAGAGATTCTACATTTCATAATTGTGCACATATAATGGCAATTGCGCGACAAGAATGCAAAGAGACTGTTCTGTTTGTCAATTGCAAGACTATAATGCAATTAGAAGTAACTGTTTGTCAATTACAAGAATATAATGCAATTAGAAGTAACTGTTTGTCAATTGCATTGACAAATCACATATGTTCTCAAATCAAATATGGCATTTGCAATACAATAACATGGCAATATGGATACAATAATTGCAAAATAGGACTAACCAATTGGTAATTGGATTCAAAATGACACATTGAAGTACCTCTTACATTTCCACTACCAAAATGCAAGGCTGCAAATATCATGGCATTTGCAATACAATTAAGAAATTCTACTCAATTTCATCTCCAGAATCAAGCAAGTAAGGCCTACCGTTTCAAAGAAAAAGATGCAGCTGTTTGTCCGTCGCAAATCTTGCGGCCTGGTGCTCCAGGCCTAGGGGATGCGCGTCAACACGTGACGTCCTTCTTTTGGATGCGGTGCGGTTGTGCTCGGGCGTGCCAGCACGGTTTACCGTGCATTGAGATGATGATGAGGTTCGGGTAGAAGATGCTTTAAATGTTGCGCCTGTTTTGCATTCAACTCCTAATCAAACGATTGTGGCCGAGTGAGGAACGAATCTCGGTCGTCAGGTTCATGGCCTGAGCTATAAGGCCGTTTAGTGGTGGTGTTGGTGGCGGGTTTTAGGCGGTGCTCCGGCGCGTTTCTTAGAGAGCGACGGTCGTATGATATATGGGGTGAGTGAGGCGATAACAGAGATGGTGCTCCGGCGCCTTGAAAATCAAGGGTCGTATGATATATTGATGGATGGATTTTCCTTACAGTCTACCACTACTCCTAAGAAAGCAAATAAAGGTATTGAAAGTGCATTACAGGAAAATATAATTTGCTCCGTGGGAGGCTTTTGGTTTTGGTGTTTGAACTCTTTGAACGTAGTCCTGAGCTTAGTATTTATAGGAGTCCTGTAGGGACACTCGAGGCTGACAAGACCTGCTGGTGGAGCCTGACCGGGGCAAGTGGGTAGTCAAATCAGCATTTGGGATCGTGAAGTATGGTGGTCTGGGGTTGAGAAGCATGGTAGTGTGACCGCCATAAATCTCGGCAAATCTCGGTCACTGCCTTGATCGTGGGTTCTGCCCCCTTGGCCGTGGGAACGCATTTAATTTCCTGGACTGGTGGTTGATGATCTGACCCTAAGTCTTAAGATTACTTGTAAGATTGTCTGCGCCTAACCACCCTGATTCCCATCACCAAATCCTGACTTAGTCACTTCCCTCGTGCATTGAATGCTTCTTGTGACTAGTGGGTTTTGCTGTGAAGTCAGAGGCATTACTTCATTAAATGGAGCGTGGGGCCTTGAGGCCACGTAGCGATTCAACCACAGCTTTTTCAGACCGTGTCTTTTGCGGCCTTCGGCCTCGGTCTTCAAAACTGAGGTCGCGAGGCCGAGAGAATTCTCCCTTTGCAGCTTTTCTTTTGCTCTTAGGAGGGCGAAATGCTCGACAAAACGCTAGGCGCCCGGGCCAAAGGGAAGTCTCTTCAATCAGTTCATGACCGTGTTTTATTAGGCACAAACAGCAGCAGCACATGTGTTGATTCCTACACACAAAGCCTCCTCTGCAACTCAGAATTTTTTTCAAGAATTTCCGAGCCATGTCTTGACCATTGTTTGACACAGGAGTGTCTTGAACGTGTCCAAGGCATTGATCATGTCCAACACATGTCTGCGCCTTGTCCTAGTGTCAGAGGACACGCGTACACTCCACCTTATTGCCGTGTCAGTGCAACTTAGTCTTTTTTTTTTTTTTATAAAAAAACTTATATGAAAGTTGTAGCATTTGAGAATTTAAAAACAATAATAATAAAAAAGAAGAAATATAGCAGGACCTCTAATAGTTTATTTGAAAAATATGCAACGCAAGTATTGTTTTGACTGAAATTGCTACTTTCACCTTAAAATAATCTATTTGTATTGAATTAATTTGATACAAGCGGATACAAGAGGTTTTATAATATGTGTAAGGAAACAAGGACACTGACTTATGCACCAGACAAGAATCAATCAAGCTCCTTAATACATGGGAACTGCATAAAACAACTTTGGAGAATGCAATATGCCTGGAATGCTACCTACAATGATAATGACTCATTTTACTTCATGCTTTTACAAAAGTCATCTGGCTGAAGTGCTGATGGGGTTGAACCATTTACCCCGCAACTCAAATTGACTTGGAAGTCTTTGCATAATTACAAACTATTCAAAGAGTACGAAAGCTCAACCATCTGAATTCTCATTGATTCCTATATATACAAGGCATGTCTGTATCATCTCATTGCATAAGAATTATGGGTTGCTGCAGTGCTTCCATCCAACTTGCCTCACTATTTATACTGCCAGGAATTTTATCCCTTAAAACCATTCAACTTGGTTTCTGCAGTGTTGATCATAATGTGGGATGCATAGATATAGAGAGGAAAGCCCTTCTCAAGCTCAAACAAGGCCTCATAGATCCTTCTGATCGGCTTTCGTCTTGGGTGGGAGAAGATTGCTGCAAATGGAGTGGTGTAGGCTGCAACAACATAACTAGACGTGTCAACATGCTTGATCTTTGCAATCGCTATGGGTATGTTGACGAAGCAACAGATCATGCATTTGGTGGTGAGATCAACCCTTCTTTGCTTGTTTTGAAAGATTTGGTTTACTTGGATTTGAGCATGAATAACTTTGGAGGTGTCCAACTTCCAAGTTTCATTGGATCACTAGAGAAACTGAAATACCTCAATCTCTCTAGTACATCTTTTGGTGGAATCATTCCCCTCAATCTTGGAAATCTCTCAGGCTTGCTTTATCTTGATCTTGGTAATGACTTTGGTCACCCAATTGAGACTAACCTTCAGTGGCTTGCAACTCTTTCTTCCTTAAAGTACCTTAACTTGGAAGGAGTGAACCTTGCTAAGACTACATCCTATTGGCTTCCCACGGTTAATATGCTCCCTTCACTTGTTGAATTGCATTTGCCCTCTTGTAAACCTCCCATGCTTCCTCTCTGTTTCCCTTTTTCGGCTGGGGTAGCCGATTGAAGAAAATTTTGGTCCTTCTTCTTTTTTGAGTGTTGGGCGTGCCACCACCAAGCCCCGAATTTCGGCATGAATGGAATGTGAGTAGATGGATGTATTGTGTTTGAGATCTGATTTTAATCAAACGATTGTTCAGCCGAGCAAGGAACCTCCTCACGGCCTAGGTTCTTTCACTACCTCGGGGTCAAGGCTTTATGTGAGCAAATGAAGAATAAGTGCATAAAGTAAAGGTGCTTAAACTTAAATGTAATTTAAAGACAAATGTGTAAAGTAAAGTGCGAAAGATAAATAGAATAAAGACGAGAATTAAAGTGCGATAAAGTGAATCAAAGCGATAAATAAAGTAAGAACGAAATGAAAGCAATAAGACCAATAAAGTAAAATGAACTTGAAATTAAACTTAATTGAAGTGCGATAACAATGAAAAGTAAAGCAATTGAAATAAACTTGAATTTAAATGACAAGAAAATATAAATTGAACGAGAATTTAAACTTATACTAAGAAAAGGAAGAACTCACTACACTAGGTGCATGAAAAGTAAAATCCTAAGTCTAGGAAAAGAAAAGTGCGAGATGAAAAATAGGTTTGTCTGTCCATGTGTTTTTAAAATCCTTCGTTTGGTGAGGTTTATATAGGGCTTCCGTTAGCCCATGGGCTGGCCATTGAATGGCCAAATGTCAACTCTTTTAAAACTCTTTCCTTTTGAAGCCGCTTAAATTCTTGGGATCACATTGGTGGAAATATTCTGATTGCTTGATTCTCTCATGTTTTGGAATATGCTGAACTATCATCAATCTCCTTGATTTGTTTCCTTGTGAGGCCTCCATCACATGCATCTTGGGTGTGAATTCGTGGCTTGGGCCTTGACCTCTGAGATTTCATCTTGACATTTGGTTGAACCTCGTGCCCCTTGAGTTTTTAGAATTCTAGAGTTGGTTAACCATCTACCGACCCTCCGCTAGTGGTATGGGAGCTCCAAATATTTGGATGTTGGGCTTGGCCCTACGTTGGACCATATTCAAATATTCCAATATTGGGAACTCGGCGAAGATACCTCCCACCGAACTTCAACTCCCCCGGCCCAACTTTGCTTGCCCAAGTGTTGAGAGGAGGGCACCAAGGGGCGCAAGGAGAAAATTCGCCCTAGCCCACCTTTTTGTAAGAGGAGTGGCCGGCCAAGGTATTCCAGGAGTGCCCGACCCAACTTTTTGAGAAGGAAGCATTCGGCCACTTTTGTAAGGATATGCCAGGCTACTTTTGCAAGGATATGATTGACCACTTTTGCAAAGGGAAACGACTAACCATATTTTTGAGAAGGCACCACGGCCTTTGAAGAAAACACCTCGGCTGCATTTTTGAGAAGGCACCATGGCCTTTAAAGAAAAGACCTTGGCCACCTTTTTGGGAAAGCACTTTGGCCGCTAGGAATTTTCGGCCGTTAGGAATTCTTCGACTGCTAAAAATTCTCGGTCACTAGGAATTCTTCGGCCGCTAGGAATTCTTGGCCACTAGGAATTCTTCGGCCGCTAGGAATTCTCAGGCCGCTAAGAAATCTCGGCCGCTAGGAACTCTCGACCGCTAGGAATTCTCGCCCGCTAGGGATTTTCTGGCCGCTAGTAATTCTTGGCCTCTTGGAATTCTTCCTTGGCAAATTGGGTGAATTTTGACCAACCCCAAACACTCTCACGCTTCCTTCCATCAATTTCACATCCCTTTTAGTTCTTGATCTCCCTAACAATAAATTCACCTCCACAATACCTCCTTGGTTGTTCAATCTCACTGAACTAGAGATGTCGGATTTGACAGATAACAATCTAACAGGAAAATTGCCTGAGCTTTGGGATATCTTAAAAGCTTGAGATACCTCAACTTGTCGTATAACTCGTTTCAGGGTTCAATCCCAAAATCGATTGAAAATTTAACATCTTTGGAGGAGTTTGACCTTGCATGGAATCAAATGAGTGGGATCATCCCAGAAAGTCTTGGGGAGCTTTTATCGCTGGTTTCACTTGATATCTATGGCAACACATGGGAAGGTGCCATTATAGAAGCTCATTTCGCGAAACTTGGAGGCCTGAGAAGAGTATCAATTGAAAACAATTTATCCCCAAACATTTGCTTGGTTTTCAACATAAGTTCTGATTGGATACCTCCTTTCAAATTAAGATCCTTGTACATTAGATCATGCCAACTAGGTCCCAAATTTCCTACACGGCTTAGAAATCAGACTGAGTTGACCACGGTGGCACTCAATAATGCTAGGATTTCAAACACCATACTAGATTGGTTTTTGCAGTTGGATTTGCAATTAGATTATCTAGATGTCTCTTATAATCAACTAAGCGGCACGGTGCCCAATTCATTAAGATTTAGCTTTTATTCCGTTGTTGATTTGAGTTCAAACCGCTATGAGGGCCCATTCCCACTCTAGTCCTCAAATATTACCATGCTGTTTCTTAGAGACAATCTATTTTCAGGGCCAATTCCTCATAACATTAGTCAAGTGCTGCCCAATTTGACACATCTAGACATTTCTAGGAACTCTTTGAGTGGAAGCATTCCTCATTTTTGGAACAATATACCATCGTTGTATATTGTAGACATGTCAAACAACAATCTCTCTGGTACAATCCTAAGATCCTTAGGCTCTCTTACTTCACTCCGAGTCTTCTTCCTCTCTAGCAACAACTTTTCAGGTGAAGTTCCTTTCTTGAAAAACTGCACTGATATGAAGATTCTTGATCTTGGTGATAACAAGTTTTCTGGGCCGATTTCAGCTTTCATTGGTGAAAGCATGCTCTCTTTAAAGATTTTAAGGTTGAGGTCCAACTCATTTACTGGAAGCATCCCTTTACAATTATGTGGTCTTTCCACTCTCCATATATTGGACTTCTCACACAACAATCTTTCTGGAAATATTCCCCACTGCATAGGTAATTTGTCCATGAATCATTTGATGAGAAATATCCCAGCAAATATTGGAAACTTGGGGTTGGTAGAAACTCTTGATCTATCAATGAACAAACTATCATGTTCAATTCCACAGAGCATGGTTTCTTTAACATTTCTGAATCATCTGAACCTGCCATACAATAACTTGTCTGGGAAAATTCCAACAGGTAACTAGTTTCAGACCTTTGTTGACCCATCAATTTATGAGGGCAATGCCGGTCTTAGCGGGTGTCCATTACCAATTGGTTGCCAAGACAATAAAGAAGCAACTCAAATTCCAAATGGAGATGGAGGAGAGGATGATGATAGTAAACTTGAAAAGCTACAGTTCATCATCAGCATGGTGATAGGTTTATGTGCAGGATTCTGGGGAGTTTTGGGACTTTGGCCATGAAGAGGTCCTGAAAACATGCCTATTTTCACTTCCTTGACAAAGTGAAAGATGTTGTCCTTGATTTTATCCCAGCCTTTGGTACTTATCTGCAGAAAAGATCATAGAGCACAGAACAAGTTGCACATGTGAAACAGAGTGTTACCCAGTTGAACAAGGTGTAATAAAGCACATGTGATATCCTAGCAGAAGATGTAAACCTTGATATTTGTTTTTGAATGAATTTTTTCCCAGCGTTTGTCAAGACTTAAGAAATAATTAAAATTATGTTTTGGTTTGAGTTGTTTTATCGTGTCAACCCACAACCCTGGTGCTCGTATATTTCTTTTGTACTAATATTTCAAGGAAACTGGACATGATAAAACTTTGTATACCATAAATGTATATTGGCAAGGAAGAAGATGACATTAAATCAATACAGCTTCTAGGCTATACATAGCCTTTTCCAAAAATGGGTTTACTAGGTTGATGGCAAAAAGGTTTTGTGCAGACAAATGCTAGAGTTAAACTCATGATTTCCTTAGTTTTGTCTTCAGTCTTGATATAATTTCCTAGAGATAAGCATCACAAGGATTTGTGCTATCCAACCCTTGTATGAAATATTCTTCCTCATCGTTCAAAGTTATAATATTGTCATCACAAACAAAATTTGAAGTCTTTTATATGAATTAATTAGATAGTCTATCATTTACTTTTTGCAAATATTTAGGCTTAATTTGTGATTGCTATGCTTCTTTTAGAAGTAGCTTTTTTTGCAAATTTTTAAAAAGGTTTGTCGTTTGATAAAAAAGAAAAAAAGCTCATTTTTTCAAAATTAGGGGTCACGCGTAGTAGTTTTTAAAAGCCGGCAAGAGGTTGCTTTTAAAAACTATTGCACGAAGAAGCATGCGGAGTGAAGGAGTTTTCAGATTTCCCATATTGTCCTTATTTGTTTCATCAAATTACATGCTCTATCCTTCTCCTTTTCATGCTCTATTCCTTCTCATTTGACTATTGTTCCTCCTGGGTATTGGAATTACCCAACAAAGCATGAATCTTTCACTTCAACAAAATTGAGATTGAAAAAATTGAAGGTCCAAGATCTGATTGGACCAAACAGCAAAAGAAACTTAAATTATACATTATTTATTTTTTAATGATAATTTTAGTTTTTTTTAAAAAACTTTCATCATCATACGCTTTTTTTTCATTATACACTGTCACAGCAATTCTATACAAAATTTTACCAAACACTTGACACTTCTTTTCATTCTCACAGAACTTTTACAAATATAGATTACCAAACGCTAAACTATTTTCCTTTATAGCTGATTTCTCTCACAACAAATCTCAAAGTAATTATTTTCACAGCATAGCAACGCCAAACTGGCCCTTAGTTGCTTCACTTCACAGTTGTTTATTCTTGCATCATAGCAGAAGCAGTTTTTCTAAAGGCACAACAATGTCAAACTAGCCCTCAGTGTCCTCCTTAAGATTGGACCTCATCACATAGTCACTTTTTCTCTCCTCCAATTTTGATCCTTTTATTCTGTTTCCCTCTTTTCGGCCGAGTCAGCCTACAGAAGGAACTTTTGGTCCTTCTTTTTTGAGTGTTGGGCGTGCCACCACCAAGTCATGAATTTGGGCTTGAATGGAATGTGAGTAGATGGATATGTCGCGCTTCTAACTTCTGATCAAATGATTGATCGGCCAAGCAAGGAACTTCATCTTGGCCTAGGTTCTTTCACTTCCTCAGGCTCGAGGATGGTTAGGCTTTGTACGGATGTTTTTATGATTTTTAGGTTTTTAAGTAAAAATAGTGCAATTAAGCTAAATGTGCATTTAAACGTAAAGACGAGAATTAAAGTGCGATAAAATAAAAGTGATAAATAAAGCAAGAATTAAAGGCAGCACGATCGTCTGTCTGGGGCAGCGGGAATACTCATGGCTGAAGCAGGCGGCGTAATCCCGCAGGGGTTCGTCTTTACCATGCCAAAGCATATATAGGTCATCTGCCGAGTATAGTCAATCAGTCTGAATCATGAAATGGTCGAGGAAAGTCTGCTTCAAGCTGTCAAAGGAGTTGATAGTGCTTGGGTTTAACCGGTAGAAGCATTCAAAGCGGCGCCATTGAGGGTGGAGGGGAAAATAAGGCACATGCCCTCATCACTGAGACCCTTGCAGTCTAGGGTAGATTGAAAATAATGGATGTGGGTCAAGGGATTGTCCTTACCTGTGTAGAAGGCGATGCGAAGTGGCTGAACATCCTTCTCTTGACGATAGTTAAGGATATGCTCAGTGAAGGGGCTGGGGCGTGGCTTCGTCCAGAGAGGCTGATGGCTGCGGTATTGCTCGTTCTCGAGATGTCGGACCTTTTCAAAGAGGAGTTGCATAGCAAGGTCAGCATGGCGGAGGGCATCGGGTGCCGGAGGCTTGTTGTGTTGGTTGGGTGGAGGTGGATAAATTTCCCACTCCTCAAAAGCTTCAGAATGGTAAGGCTCCCAGTCCTCAGGGTGGTAAGGTTCCCAATCGTCCGAGTCCCCAACTCCCTCCTAGGTTGGTAAGCGGGTGGGCTTTGGTAGGGGGCCTAGGTGTGCCACCCGTGGGTCATTGAGGTCGACAGGAATAGGGATGAGCTTTGGTCGATGCTCCAAGATGCGATCCCTGCAATCCTTGTAAACCTTGGTTGGGGCATGAGGCTGATCCCTTGGTGGGGAGATATGGAGAAGCCGCGACTTGGTCGCTTATGGATGTAGGTGGCCTTTGCCTTTGTCAGGCCTAGACTGAATTAGGGCACGATGGCGAGAGACGACTGGTTGGTTCGGTTGGGTGCGTTCAACAACCTGGATGAGGTTCTGCTCGGTGAATTGGTGGTGAGTGTTCTCCCAATTATGCTTCAAGGTTCGGTAGTCGTGCTCCAATTCGAGATTCTTAGTACGAAGGTGTTCATAGTTCTTTGTCATCTTTGCGATACTGGCACGAAGGCGCTCCAATTCGACTTAGAGGTGCGCATCGGCCAAAGGTTTCTTTCGGGATGAATCCCCACGAGGGGTATGGTGTTGGGTATCAAGGCTAGCTTCACTCAACATAGCGGAGTGTGAGGGGTAGAAGAGACAATGGGGTCGGATGGGAGATGGAGCCAGCGAGACTGGTAGAGAGGTGGGATTCGGAAGTCGCTTCCCACAGATGGCACCAAACTGTTGATGCTCTTTTTGGGAGGGTCAACTTATGTAGAGAGTGTTAGACCTTTGGCAGGGGGATGAGATTGCAAATCTTCAGCATTGAGAGATCCTGCAGAAGGAAACAGAGAAGAAGCAGTCGTCAAGCTTCAGATACTAGTGTGGTACTTGCCGAAGGCTCTCCAATGCTTAAGTTAGCTATATGTGGTAATTTTGGCAGAATAATAGTAAAGGTGGGAAAGTAGTTACCCTTTTTACTTGGGCATTGTTCCCTATTTATAGGGAAGTGAAAATAAGAGTTTTGCATGAAGTTTCGATGTGGGACTTCGTGCAAACTGTTGTGGACGTGACACGTGTCCGTGGTCCTAGGTTTTGTAGTCATCGGAGGGGCACCATTGTGTCGTCGATGTTATCTTCAGCAGACTTGCGCGGTCCGTGTGTTGATTTCCAGTGCCAAATGTACTCGGTTGGATATGGTATAAACACAACTCATGCAGCAAGGGAAGAAATGGGCATGTTCCTTACCGAGATTCGAAGCTAACCCGCATTCTGCAGTCCTCCTTGGGGGGAATTAATGCTAGAACTGCCATAATTTATACCATGAGTCCTGCACATAGCAATGTTAAACAATCAAGAAGTAACCTCTTGTTTGCAAGCTGTTTTAAAGAAGCGACAACAAATGCGCAGCATAATGTAGTCATGTCGGATAAAGCATTGGTGAAGCATTTGCAGAGAGAATTGACTAGATAGTAGGGAATGAGTTGAGAGGTTCAGGACCAAAAACTGTTCCAGCTGATTCTTCAACATTATTGAAAAAATATGTTATTCTCTTCACTTATTTTTTTTTTTTTTTTTTTTTTAACATACTGTTTTTTAACTCAAGTGAATATCCAAAACTGGCAAAGAAGCACAAAACAGAGGCCGGCAGATTTGCTGACCTCTTAAAAGATCACCAAATAGAAATATAAATTCCCCTAATGGAAAGCAGGAATTTTCTCTTTAATATGTTTTGACCTTTTAATATTTTCTTTCTGGTCTTTTCACAATTTGATCAAGCAGGTTTCTCCATGTTCTTTACTTTTAATTCTGTCACATGATTCTCGAGTCGTCTCAAATGGCGATCTCTGAAAATCTTCATTGTGCTTACCTTGGAAATTTCTTTTCTATGTTTTTTCTTTCTTCTGCATGGTTCTCGTATGTGAGAGGACAGAGTACAGTTTTTCCTGTTCATGTTTCATGCAACATCCTTTCTTGTCTAAAAAACAATATCATTAAGCCTCTCATCTGTAAGCCAGAATGAGTATTAAAATCCCACTCCAAACTCCAAAAGACTGAGACATTTATAATAACAAAGAGCTGGATTATTCAAAAAAGGACGAACCTGGTTTGGCAAAATCTGATAAGCCAAAATCAATGGCTTTCAACTGGGAATTCTCATCCTTAGCGGAATACAAAAAGTTCTGATAAGAAAAATGAAAATAGAACATTAGTTTAATACAAATATAATTACATACAGAAAGCACAATCAATATATCAAGTTGACCACAACTTCTAGCTTTAATGATGGATATCTTGCACAGCAATATGGAGAGACATCAGTCTTCTTGTGAACTAGTTTTAAATTGTTTGGAGGAAACCCTACACTCCCCACATAAAACGTCTTTTGAAACAAGCCACAAAAGATACCATATGGACCAAGCAAATGTAGGTCATGACTCAGACGTTTTCATCATCAGTTCTTCAAAAACACGTTAAAGAAAACAGGTGGGAACCAACTACAGCCCCGTACAGCAATGACATCAAATGATGGCAGGCCAAAGAGATTGATAGGATTTTCATCGTGCTTACCAATTCTTAATCAAATAAAAATATTATCTGTGTCACTCCACAGTAGGTTTGCCAATCTCCTGTGCCCCGAGCAAATGTATCTTTGAGGAAGGACAATCTCCTGTGCTCAACCTCCAAGTAAATATAATCACTCGGATCACCTTTAAATAGGAGAAAGAAGTCCTGTGAACCAATGACACATTGCAGGCCTCCCAAAGTTCAATGATCTCCCTTTGCAGCCTGTTGAATTCTGAAGGCCACATTGAAGGGCTTTCCTCATCACTATGAATTGGGTCCAAGCCAAAATCTTTTACATCCCTTGCAGATGGTACGGGCTTCAAATCCGTCTCTGGTACCTGTCAAACGATAAAATTCTTGTTAGAAATATAATTAGTTAGATTGTCTACAACTTCGCTTCTTTATTTCTCAATGGCTACATTTGAAGAGAAAAGGAATAACTGGTTGTATATCTTACTAAACTCCCTATAATTCCTGCAAGAATTGTGCATAAATCAGATATTGCATAATTTTCAGTTTAGTTTCAACAGTGTGAAACAAAGTGAAGGGTCCTTCCTCTTTCCTTCTTCCAACTGGATGTCCATCTTACTAGTTGCCCTTTTTCTTCTCTTCATCAATACACCAATAAGACGAGTGGCCTACTCTAAAGAAATGGTGAACAAATAAAAAAACTCACTGTACGATCAGCAAGTTGAGTATTGCATTGGGTATCTGTCATTTCCTCTGTTCCTTCAGCTAAAGTACAACATTCTGTACTCTTGTCATCAGTTGTGAATGTGGTATTTGTGCTTTACACTCATCAACAGTAGCACTTCTTGCAGAAGCCTGAGAGCCATTCTTGATAGCCTCTCATTCTCACCTCCATAGTTCAATGAAGGAAGTTTCTTTTGGACACCCTCAGGCCTTCCTGTAAAACTTTTCTCAAAATCAATTGGAGGAGGTGTGCTCTCATTCTTCTCTACCCAAAAATAAAATAATTGAACTTAAGACATTGAAGAGTCTTGTACTTGTAGGGTAACTAAGACGACCACAAATTTACTTAATGAGGGCCTAAAATCATGTTTAAGCTTTGTGCTAAAAAAACACATTCTTCTACTCATAATGCTAATCTTCCTCCTTTTCTGTTCCCTTCATCTAAAAACTATTAGCCACCCCCCACAGAAACTGCAGCATCATCCTCCTCCTCCCATCTCGAACCTCTTATTCTTATACAAAAGTACTGTTTTTCTTCCATCAATTGCAACATCTTCACCAATTTTGATCCTTTTATTCCTATAAAAGTTCTTTTTGTTTTGTTTTTTTGTTTTTGTTTTTTTTTTTTGCGTTGGGAGTTATCTACAAGAACCATCGTTCTTGAGATCCATTTAAATTGCTTTTCATATGCACGCCAGGAAAGACATTTGAACAAATTTGTGGATGCAAAGTTGCAGTATATTGCATTCGGACTGTTAAATAATGGGAGTCCCCTTTGTTTTTCACTTGGTATAACTAAATTTTCTTAGATGTGCATACCTTTGTAAATCTCATAAACTGAAGAACATGAGACACAAATTCAATACAGTTTCATTCGGCATAGCCTATAACAATAACTAATACTTTCTTTAAATAAAATATATATATATATA